CATATTGAACGATTAACGAAAATATGTTAATTTTTTATTCCTTAGAAAATTGCCCAGGTTACGAAATGCCAATATAGTTCCAATGGTGCCGCTTACGAATTTATAAAAAATTATGTGTTTCCTTACCTCAAGAAAAAACCATACTCATATGGATGTTTTAATTTTCGAATTTTGTATTTTTGAAATATCAATTATCGTATCAAGAAATATAACTAATTGGCGCAAATTACATGGTTTGATGTTTTGTTTTCAACAAAATAACTTATCCGAGCCCACTCGCACTCACACAATTCTATTGAAAGATATCACAGTTCATTACAATCCTGTGGTGCACTAGCCACAGTGGAATCATCGCTTCGAGTGCGCTTGGATGAACTGCCTTTGTTAAAAACGTGTGAACATGTAATTTGCAACGCATGGGCTCATTTTTCTTTTTCGTGATACCTAGGATGAGTACTTATCTTATACATGTATACTTTGTAATGCACTCGCCCGCGGGCAGTTTAAAAATGCACCCTTAGAGTATCTGTTAATCTAATGACGTTGCTGTTTGACTCAGACCATCGTCAATACGATCTTCATTTGCACGTCACATGCAAAAATCACTGGCATGTAGCGATTTAAGCGATACTGGATACTTTACTGAATTGTGTCGAAGTTAGACGTGTGGTGCGGAAGTTAATATGCAGATGACCATCATTTCAATGTTATATTGTTTGTAGGCAAATTGAGATTAGGCCATTGGAGTATTTGTTTCACGCATACATAAAGCCTAACGCATTCAAGGGTCACATTTATCATTAAACCAATAACTCAAACATATGACCTTGTACACCGACCACCTCTTGAAATCAATGCAGGCCGATTTCAACGAATGCAAACGGTGATATATAAAAGAAACATAATCAAGCATGACCACGTCCCAACTTCTTTTGTTTTTTTTACAACTAAGCTATGACTGCAGTCTATTCAGTGTTGCGTATCGAACCTTGTTTATTATAAAAATAGTGCAACAACAAGCAGAATTCACACATTTACCTGATACTTATTCTCAACTGAAGACATTGACTTTATCTCTTAGGTTTTACATTATAAATATCTTAACATGCAGAATACGAAAATAGAGGCTTAGGCCCAACTTTGTATGGATTTTATGAAAATAATCTGATTTTAGAGAAATGAAAAGAAAAATGTCCACACCCTACACAAAAGATTTATGGTTCCCGGGAATACGTATGTGTTGCTTGTATATTAGAATCGTATTCCAGTTACAGAAAGACGTACATATCATGCTAAACTATATATATATATTTATCGTCTATTATCCTTTGACAAGTAGAGTAGAGAATAAAAATAAAAAATTTAAAAAATTCAAAAAAGGAAATAAGCTTAATTTTTTAGAAAACTACTTGGTATATGATAAAGCAGATATGTGCGGTCGGTTTGGATATGGGGTTTATCCCTCGTGAGATATGCACGTCTACCTTCGGTCCCTATGGTCCATCAGGTAGATATAGAGATTATCCTATATGAGGTTCAGGATATTGGGATTACCCCGAGGCAAATATAATATATCTGTCCGAGGGCGCAGGTCTCGAGGGAAAATATATTTTATTCCATAATACTACTGTTTTCCCAGGGAAATATGAAGGAATGAAAATCGTATTGACTCGTATTACATGAAAAAATCGTATTGTCCCCGTGAAAAAATCGTATTGGAGCGTATTACATGAAAAAATCGTATTGTCCCCGAGAAAAAATCGTATTGGAGCGTATTACATGAAAAAATCGTATTGTCCCCGTGAAAAAATCGTATTGGAGCGTATTGACCTATTTTTTAGTTTCCCGGTTATTTTATTTATTTATTTTATTTTTCAAACAATGCGCATTTATTAATATAACGTTTGCATTATCCAAATGTAACATTCTAGAGGGATGTATTATGGAATAAATAGGTTATTTCTGGTCAGGATTGAATATGGGTTTTATTCCTCGGAAAATATGATATTGACCTTGGGCAATATGATATTGACACTCGGTCGCTGCGCTCTCGGTCAATATTATATAACCCTTCAGTCAATATCATATTGTCCCTCGGAATAAAACCCATATTCAATCCCTCCCAGTAAATAACCTATATTTATCATATGCCAAGTAGAGTTTTAGGGAGATAAGTTGGTAAGATATATCCCGTATCCTGATTTTGAGGTTTCCATATCCAGAACCTCCATATCTCCCGCCATATCTCCCGCTTCGGTGCATAACTTCCCGCTTCCGTTAATGCAATAAAATGACTTTGCATATGAATGAATGATTTGTTTATTTTTATACCTTGTACTATTGAAATGGCCATATGCCCTTGAAAACTCTACTTGGTATAGGATAAAGCAGTTATGTTCAGTCGAGTTAGATATGGGGTTCATCCCTCGTGAGATATGCACATCTACCTTCGGTCCCTACGGTCCCTCAGGTAAATATGCATATCTCCCTCTGGATAAAACCCATATCCAAGACCTCCCTGTACATAACCCTTATGTATTCCATACCTGATGAGGTTTCAGGGGCATATCAACCGGGACTATATTCCATATCCGGCAAATATTTTTCGTATGTCCCGCTCCGACGGAGCTTCGGGACATATAAATCGTATGTCCCGCTCAAAAAAATGTTGAAAATAAATTCGGAAAAAAAATTTTTGAAAAAAAAGTGGGAAATAAATTTGGCAAAAAAAATTTGAAAAAAAAGTTTTGAAAATATTCTGAAAAAAAGTATTCCAAAAAAAGGTGAAAAAAAGTTTGAAAAAAAAGTGGGAAAAAAATTTGGCAAAAAAAATTTGAAAAATAAATTTTGGAATTTTTTTTCCATTTTTGAAAAAAATCTGAAAATAAAAATTTGAAAAAATATTTTTGAAAATATTCTGAAAAAAAATTATGCAAAAAATGTGAAAAAAAATCTTGAAAAAAAATTTTGGACTAAAAATTTGAAAAAAAAATTGGGAAAAAAAATTTGGGAAATTTTCTTTTTCATTTTTGAAAAAAATTGAAAAAAAATTTGGAAAAAATTTGATTTTTTTTTGAAAATGATAACATATTTTGCAAGTAACACACCAGAGCATTTGGGAAACATACTTAAGATATCATATTCATTCGTGGATAAAAATCATATCTCTCATAAATCATAGGATATCCTCTATTTATTCCATAGTTAGCATGATATTCATAGGATAACATGTGAAAATAAAAACGGTATTTTTGTAATCAGTGGTAAAATATGATAGTTTTGACAAATTTTCACTTAACCATAGCATACGGTTTTTTAGCCATGACATACGACGTCGTATGCGATGGTTTATGGATTTTTGCTACTTCAGACTCAAAACGAGGCTAAGTGTCAACATCGCCGGATCGTTTGGAAAATTCGAAATAAATGACTTAATTTCCGACGATTCTGATGATGACTTTAACTATGGAATAAAAAGAACATCCTATGATTTACTCGTGATATGATTTTAATCCACTCATGGTTATTGACATCTGCACTCTCTCGCTAAGCTCGCTCGTGCAGATATCATATCCATTCGTGGATAAAAATCATATCACTCATAAATCATAGGATATCCTCTATATCCCATGGTTGCAACAGGCCCGTAGCCAGGATTTGCCAAGGGGGGTGGGTTAAGTTTTCAAAAATGTCCAGGGGGGTTCACATTTGACAATTTTGGCCAAAATATGGCTGAAATTACTTGAAAAGTGCTCAAAATGGTGAAAAACTGCATGATTTTGAAAGAATTTTTGGCCAGGGGGGGGGTTCGCCCGAACCCTGCGAATATCACTTTTAAACTATCGAATATCACGTCTTAAAAAGTGATATTCGATGGTTTCGAATTTTTTCAAAAAAGGAATTTTGAATATTTGATGACGTAAATCAAGATAGTTTCTACTCGCATCTTGTCTATTCCACAGGTTTGGGAAAAGTGTACAGGAAAATCTCCATGTTCCATTGATGTATGATCAATATACGAATCGAATGTATTCTCGTGTGCATTACAATATCCACATTGAAACAGTTTTGGCCTGCAATGGACGTATAATGGATTAGAATATGAGGCCGTGTTATCATTCAAATGTAAAGTCATGGTATTGGGTTGCAAGTTAATATCAGATTCAATGCAAAGTAATCATTTAATATCAGATGCACGATCAGTCCAATAATGTAACTTCAGGTCATCAGTTCGATATCTAGCAGTTGTTCGAACGACACGGTATTACTAGGCTATCGTGTTATAAATACACACACATATAAATAAATCAAACTGGTACACGATATGAGCACGACTGCTCTTTCAATTGAGTATAAATGTTGATAAACGTACCCGGAAGCCAACACATACACGTCTAGACGATGCTATTTCCAGTTCAGTGTAAGAGTAAATGCCCGGATATCGAAGCTTTTTCGTGTAAAGTTTTAACCAAGCATGTAGTATCGGGTTATATTGCGTGTAGAATTTATCGATATCAGGGCCGCTACATGCCAGTGAAAAATGGCAAATATTATATAAATACATATGAGCAATGTTGTAGAAGCTCTTGGTTAAGGTCGTCTATACGTTGGAAATTTTGTAAAATTAAGATTCCTCAGCAAATGCAGTTCTATAAATACTCTTGGGTAATTTTCGTCAAAATAGAGTAATAGAGAAGATTAATCGAGATAAGGCATTGGTTTCGATGGAACATCAAGTGACTTAGAAATCTTAATTCTACACTGAAGAAATATATGATAAATCTCCACTATATGTGTATTTATATCTGTACCGTTGATATGCTTTTGGGTACATTTTTGAGACACCCTATATATTCAAATTTATCCTATCTACCAATATCTAAATACAATTAAAAATGACTCGAAATGAACAACACCACACGACCTGTTAAACATTGCTCTAAAAGGAGCTAATAAAGATAAAAATGTATAGTTTTTATTCAGTGCAACATATTTTGTAGGTCAATGTTTGAAATGCTACAACTGCAACACCATTAATGATAAGAATTGTGCCGATGATAACTTTGGCTTCAGTCCCAAGGCGGGGACATGCAAAGGGAGAATACTAGAGCCAGAAACGTGGAATACCACTGCTGTTCTGTTTGCACCATCGAAGGATACGTGCTGTGAGGGGGACAATGTGGTATGCGTAAAAACAACAGCGCAATGTAAATATTAACTCTTTCGCCTCGTTCGCTTTTCTGCTGTAATATTTTGGAGTGTTTCCATGATCCATTCAATAAGAGCTAATCAATCATATACCAATGTTATTAGAAAATGTATAATGCCTTATTAAGAAATATATGTACTTATCTAATGTCTGGGCCACATTTGCTCCGATCCATCGGCCGGCGCCCAGCCGATTGAGTGTGTTGTTCAAAATTGCCCGGGCACCGTTGTGAAAATCGGAGCAAATGTGACCAAGGCATAATGCCTGGGTCACATTTGCTCAGATTCATCGGCCGGCGCCCGGTGTAACAGATTTAAGTGTCCCCCGGTGGTCAGTGTCCGTGGGACAGCCAACCCTAGGGATCGGGGTCCTACGGCTGTCCATTGGAGGACATTGAAAACCAGGTTTTATTTCCTATATTAACAAGGGTAAAATGGGAAGACAGTTGTAACTGGGGAGACTCTCAGATCTGTCACACCAGTAACAGATTGTTATGTCCCCCGTTGATAGGATTTAATACTTGTAGTTTCTAGGATCCAAGTTATAGTGTAGTCGAAATCGGTTATCAGCATCTCTCCCACTGTGGCGTAATGGTATAAGCGTTGGCATAATGTGTATTTATTAATTGTGTTTGTATTTATTAGGTTCCAGGTTCGAATCCTGCATTGATATATCATGTGTAAATATATTAACCGTCTGCACCGTTTATTCGTATTGTATGTTATATTGTCTCAATAGATTGTAGTATTCTATATTGTATCCTATTATTATTGGTGCCCATTTTTTTCATTTTCAAAGGATACCACCAGTTCTTATAGATATTCTTTATTTATTTTTTTATTTATTCCTCCTAACCACTTTTCTCCTACTTCTAGCTAGGTCTGAGATAACTCTTATATGCTTCTACTAAGAACCTGAGCTGCACTTGGCAGGGAAGAAATTTTTATCTAGGTCAAGGTCAAAGGCCAAATCTAGGCCCAAATCAGAGTTTTTTTAAGTTTCTCAGATTTCGTCTTCATATTTCATGATTATTTCTTGCAATGAATTAAAATGTAACTAGATAAGCATTCCCTACAAATTGCTTACTATATATGTTTGCGTTCAATTTTTACCGTTTTTGAGATAATTGACGTGAAAAAAATTGGTCATATTGCTTCAAATTGACCAATTTATTTTTAAAAATCATCTACAAGTCCCCGGGAACTCAAATCTGACCTTTCTTTTGACCTTCTGGGTTCAAATTTAGGTTTTTTTAATCACAAAAAGACCCACTGAAAGTCAAAGGATAAGTATCAATATGGTGAACTGAATTCAACAATGTTTTTCTCTTAAACCATTTATAGGAAACATTCTGTAAAAAACACGGTCCTTTATGTAATGTTGACTGATTGGCAACAATTCAATGCAAAAATAATGTATATATATTTTATATAACTGTTTTTGTTAACATTTTTTTTATGTAATTGTTTTTTGTTCCTTTTTACCAATTATTGAGAATGAAATAAAATGTATTTCCGAACCTTGTTGGAACAAAATAGCATATACAACATTTTCTTAGACCTCTCAATATCATAGTTATACAAAGAAAATTTTGGTTGATTTAACGAAAAGTATCCAAAAACTTAAAACAAAACCCCCAAAATAGATAAAAATTAAGATAAACCTTTCATTTCATTTACAAGATACTTATTTAAAATCAACCAAACTTTCCTTTGTACAATTGCAATATTGAGAGACCTAAACACGTTGTGTTTATGTAGTTTTGTTCCAATGAGGTTCGGATAGATATTTCATTTCATTCCGAACATATGATACCAAGACCGAAAGAAGTGTCTGATGTGTTTTCTAAAACAATATAGAGAAAAGTCTATATATATAATTCAAATTATAATGTTACCATCCAAAATATGACCATTAAATTGACGATGTGTAAAATTTTCAGAATGTTTTGATGACTGGTTTAAGAGAAACGCGTGTTCAAAAAGTTCATCATATCGATACCACTCCTTTGCAAGGTCAAATGTCAAGGTCATCAAACTAAATCACAAACTTTGTTTTCTTAGTTTCTCAAAGTTGATGATTACGAATCAATATTTTTTGATGAAAGTCAGAATATATATTCCATTAAAGGTTCTACACATATAAGCAATTGACTATCCATTAAAATTGTGCGCCAGTTTTGAGATATTAGACCTCAAAAACTGAAAAAGGTCAAATTTCGAATTTTTGACCAAACATTTTTTAAGATCATCAAAACTATTCGAACGACCCTTGTATTTAGGAGTATATACGCGATGAAATGTGACCTATGTTCATTAGTAGTAGAGGGCAGTGATGCAGAGTCATTAAGGTTAATGTAGGCTCATTTGATGTTTATGCAAATAAAAGCAATTATATACTTACATTTTGTGAATTGTGTTATATTTGGTCTATATTTAACGTAACAGAGAAGTGCTCGAAGATTTATTAATGATAAAACGCATTATTAGTTGAGACATAAATAAAGGGGGACACTAAAAACTAGCTTTCGAATGATGCTGGTTTTTAGTGTCCCAAAGGGGACATTCAAAACTTCAAGGGGGACACTTAAAACTTGGAGCATCCCCAGGGTTAACTGTCCCACGGACACTGGCCACTGGGGACACTTAAATCTGTTACACCGGGCGCCGGCCGATGAATCGCTGCAAATGTGACCCGGGCATTAGAGTCATACTAACAAAATTTCAACTTCGCCACGCATCCTTAAGTAAGCTGTGTATAGACACCATGTGAAATGTTACATGTAAATATAATTAAATTTGTTTATTTCAGATCAGGGTGAACCCGTGAATGTGCGTACATGTTTTCGGGACGTCAGTGACGAAAAATGTTTTGATTTAACAGTTGATGGCGTTAAGACGAACGCATGCGTTTGTAAAACAGACTTCTGCAACAGCGTTGACAGTGTCAGACCACATTCATCGATCCTTCTGATCGTTTCCTTGGTTATTCTGTGGGCTTAAATAAAGGCCAGTGGCCTCAACATTAACATATCAACAAAGCATGTTTATGTTTAGGAAGTTTGGCTAGGAACAAAATGTAGTATATACTTTTAATGATATGGAATTTATTCTTTATCAAAATTGGACCATGCATCATCCATGTGAAACGTCGAACCATATGGTGTGCTGCCCCAGCATTAAAATATAAAAAAATCGCTTCAACTTTTCCAAAACTTGGAGCTTCCTATTGGAAACACTCATCATATACAAGACTCGCATCCTCCTATTGTACTTAAAACGAGCTTGACGTACTAGAAACGGAACGAGTTAGAACTCATTGCAAACGGGTTTGATCTGAATATGGACGTATTAAAGACTATGATTAAAGATTATGAACGAGTTATCAAAAATATAGCTATCACACCCACGGACCTCTGCCAGATAAGCTCCTCTGTCTAGGCTCAATAAATATACTCCCATTTATCCTTTGAGCCTACTACCAATAGGGGCTAGATCTGGCTCCGGATCTGTGATCACACCAAACTAGTTGCCACTGCGTTCTTCAAAACGTTGCCGAACTAGTTTTAAACTGTGTGTGAAAGAAATGAACGTAGCTACAACTTTCCAAGAGGGGTAAGAGACACTGTGTGTGTATATAAAAAAATAATTATAAATGGAAACACATAGCTTGTAAAACGATGCGAGTTTCAAAAAGGGGCGAGTTTCCAATAGCACCCGTTCTGATTGCAGAACTTGACGACCACCAGAAAATTTTGAATATGCTCTAAGTTTTGGAGGACATACTCGTGCGAGTACGTTCATGAAGTAAATAGACACTTTACAATTCCAAGTAATCCGTACTCGTACATAGTTTAAGTCCGTTTTCGGGAATGTAGTGAGAACTAGTTTGATAGTGGGGTTTCTAGTGTCAAACAAAGTGTCAATCAAACTCAAATCACTATACAGTTATTACATTCATTTGCATTCAATTACGCCGGTTACCAAAACGAACGGTAGCAAGATGGCTTCAATTCCGGCTGAAACCGTACGAATTTGTAGAGTATTGACGGGAATCAGATTACCGACACGCAACACTTTGGAAAATTCACTTTACTATACCCTAAATTTGGTGTTCATAAGCAACCCATTTGGCTTATTAGTAATGATTATGTTATTAGTTTTTATGTGTCTGTTCCTTATTAATGGTTTATTGGATGCCTGTTAGATGTTAATAAGGTACTTTTAAAAATATACATACTAAGCAATACAATTAGACAAACATAGTATCTTATGGATTTCTAGGGGTTAGGTATAGCAGAGCTCTAGAGTGAAATCAATCCGTTGTACAAACCGGTGTAAAAGAAATGATGGTCCCCTTTCTTAACGGCCCTTACTGGCCCTGATTGTGTATACGATAATGAGGGAAAGAGTTGTATTTAGGTCACCATATAAATCAATGGAAAGTAGGACCATAATTTGATAGGACCTCCTACCCTTTTACACCGGTACGTCGGTATAACTCAAGATAAGTTGTTAACATACAAGAGTCTTTAATTACACTATATTGCAGGTGCGTGAATAAAATCTACCATTTACGTTGTACAACTCATATATAAACAAACAGCATCAAACTATTCTAAACTTATTTCTCTTCGCTCATTTTAGCTCAAAACAAACTGTGCCACTAATACACGGTGTTACCCCCCTATCACACCTAACTAGTTCTTACCCGTTCTTGCCAGTCCTACGAAAACGTCGTAAAACGGGCTCAATCTGGCTGTGGTCGGGAAATATGTCTAAAATAATTAGCTACTTCGTTCATAAACAGTCTTCAATGCGCCGATCTCATTCGCAGTTCGTTCAGGTCGCACCACGTCGGTGTGCAACGTCGTATAACGCGTCCCTTAGTCTAGAAGATCATCATGACCTGATTACAGAACGGTATGGTCGCCATCGAATTTTGAATCGATTCAAAATTCAAATTAAATTCCCCGTCCGGGAAAGTCCTTGAAGTTCGTAAACAGACCGTAGAACGTTGTAGCTACGTTCATTAAGTTCGCACACAGTTTAAAACAAGTTTTGAAGAACGCAGTGGAAACTTGTTTGGTGTGATAGCTACATTTTTGCTAACTCGTTCATAAGCAGTCTTAATACGTTCTTAATCAGTTTAAACCCGTTTCCAATTAGTTCTACCTCGTTCTCAATACGTTCTCAGCCAGTTCTACTCCTTGTCAAAACGTCCCTAGTGGGATTGAAGTACGACGGTTCCGTTCGTAGTACGTCCTGCTCCTCGTTAGTACGTTGTCACTCGTTCTAATTGTAGAACGTATCGACCACGAGAACATTTGAGCATGTTCTAAGCTCTAAAAAACCTACCCGTTCGAGTACGTTCGATGAAGTTTGTAAATATACCCCAAACGGTTCTTAGTACGTCAAGTCCGTTCGTACACAGTTGAAGCCCGTTTTCGAGAACGTAGTAAAAAGTAGTTTGGTGTGATAGTAGGGTTACATTGTAGTTTCATAATGATTCCACGATCATATAAAATTTGCTACAACTCATTTGCGGTTTTTCTTTATCCGGGATTGTTCGTATTATTGGTCACAACATATTGACTTGATTTCATACTAAGCTATGTACGATTTAAGAATTTACACTGAATTTTTGCTTATTTTTTACCTTGTACATCTTTAAAAATTGTAAATACCATATTATACTAAGACACAGTTTAAGGTAATTTCTTCTAAATGCATTCTAGATGTAGTTAATCTATTCCTGTATTTCTGTGTGATTGATATAAATATGTATTATGAAATAAATTGAATTAAAAAATGAAGCATCAATGCGAACATAAGTGATCCATCAAAGGGTAATAGCAAAATTAGAAAGTTTGTTAATCCACTTTGCTGCAGACTAATTAATTTTTGAACAAGAAATTAACAATTGACATTGTTTTTAAAAACACAATTTATATTCACCGAATAAGTCTTTTGCATCTCATGCAAAATATTATTGAAAGCGTACATAGTAAGAAAGTTATAGCAAAATAGAATATTGATGTTTTTGGCTTACCCTGTATATCAAGTGTGAAGTTTTTATTATAAATGGCAATAACACGATGAATTTGAAACTTTTGACCTGAAACATTTTCATTTCGAAGCGCCGTACTTAACTATTAAACGAGACTTTATTTTAAATCCATAAACGCTCCGGTAGTTTCAGTTTTATGGCGAAGTCTTACGAATCAGAAAAGAAAGCAAGTGAAATATTTCACTATTCACTTCCTTGTTGTCAATTTATCATTTCTTTGACATACTTGAAAAGGCCAATACAATTATCATCTTCAGTTTCTCCATGAAGTCAAATACAATCAACATTTTAGATTTTGAAGAACAAACTCTTTGTAATTTTTATAATTTACATTTAGCAAACCGTTTTAATGTTTTTATGTTGTTTTGATGTGCGGTAATCAAACATGCATTATGGTGAATCCGTAATAAAATTACCCACGAATTTTGAACTTTATCTCACAATACAGCAGAATTATAAATTATATTATATTATGTATCTGTCCAATGGCAATCATGAAATCGACAATGTTGCATAACATAGTCCTAACATTGTCACAAATGTCGCCATTCATTGATTTAACTCCTGCAGGGGTGGATGGGGTAATACGCCAGCGTTTAAGTTGAGATGGAAGAATATTGTTTTTTAACCTTGGGTTGCGCACTTGCGTTTAAATAACACGTACTTGTTTGAAAAAACAACTGCAGTTGCATACATGGGTCATAGTAAAATGTAAGTATCCTGCTTTTTATATATTTACTGTTCGACTTTTAAGTGAGATTTTTGTGATGTTATTGTAAAATTTATTATTTTTTGTTATTGTTTCGATTATGATGTGTTAAAAGAATATCCTTAACTGGGAGAGAGCTCTTACGTCACGGAATGAACTGTTGTCCGGTGAATTTGAATCAGAACTAAGCACCATTTGTAATGGATATGTATGTGCAAGTGCTAACGGGAGGGTACCAAAAATAGTTACAGAACAAAGCAAGAAAAAGAAAAACATTAGAGTACACCATTCATGACGACAATATACCCAAAGGTTTGGCGGTTTTGGGGGCTATCGAGTTGCGTAAAATGGTTTTATAAAAACGCAGCGTCTTAGACTGACCATCGTAATCCCGCTGATCGCGGTGTTCACACTCACAACCCTCCCGGCGATGACCAGTCTAACAGACAAGCTTCTGCCATCTAACCATCCACACACGCCTTGTTTTGTTATTATATTGGGAGAGGGATCATGGACATTAATCTGCATTAAATACAACATTGCTTTTACACAATTTAGGTGTATTAGTGTGAAATTATTTTCATATACGACATCATTAAGTTCAGGCAATGTTTACATTGAAAACCGCCAAACATAGCAGTTTTTAATCCGTGTCACGTATAGGAAAGGGACAGGGGAAGTATAAAACAAAATTGATCATTGTTTTTGTGGGTCCATGTATTCTTATGTCTCTACTCATGGTATGTACACGATGGAGCATTACGATCCATACATGTACGTTGCACAATACATTTAAAGTGTTTATTGTACGGTATATATAAATAATTGCGACTCCCATTGAATAAACTTCATCATAGCATAAGGAAATGAATTAGAATATAAAAATACAAATAATCGTTTGTTGTTCTTAATAAATCACACTTCAGTGAACGTGTTGTTTCGGTTTCGATCAATTGAACTCTATATTCATGAGCCTACGATGACGTCTACATAGGCACATTAGACTACATGAATATAGAGCTGGTTACGTGCACTCCTGTAATTATGAATGAATAGTTGACGATGTTTAGGCCCCCATGTTGAGTTCACTCAGAATACATTTTGAGTAGAGCTTATAATTATCACGCTCACTCCTGTAATTGTGAATAAATAGTTCACAATGTTTGGGCCCCCTGATTGTGTTCACTCGGAATACGTTTGAAGTAGGCTAAAACCAATTTGAATTTGAATCGTTTCTCCTCTATTCACCGTGACAGAGCTGCGGTTCGCGAGCGATTATTACAACGCCTGAGTGAACACGCCCAATAATACCTCGCTTACATAAGGTCAGATTCACACTGTATCGGGGCCTTGGCGATGGGAGTATTATGTGGATTTAATTTTTAACACAATACTAATCCCCGGCGCCCTTGTGATGAAACTGAGCTTATTTTGATCACACAACAACTTCATGATCTTGACAGAAATTTGAAAGTTCGCGTGGCTTGCGCAAATTATATATATATTGATATTATTATATTATCATTTTTGTTTAAAACACTTCCTTTTACTCAATTTAGAAATATGCTTGTTTTACAATATTTCGATTGATTGGTGCAATACGGGATGTACAATTAGATTATTCTTGTACATCAGAAATACATTTCACGTAGGCTCACTTCAGATCGCGCGTGCAATCTAGGTTCAAGGCCATTTTCTCTCTTTTCAATGAGAATAAATATAACAAAATTCAGATGGGCATTTTTATACTTCTTTATTCGTCCATTATAGTGAAGTCTTGGGGCTGTTACGCATGTGGAGCATCTATATTGATTCAGGGGAGCACGTTTTATATAATTTCGATAGGAAAAGAAAATTGATATACAGTGCAATAAACTCTTTAATGTTTGAGTTGGCATGCCTATTGCGATCTAACTAAACTAGTGCAAACCTTGGCCTAGAGGTACACACACACACATAGCCTTTATTCCAATTGCCAACCTACTTGTATATATTATACCTAAAAACAACGTACAGATGAGATACATTATCTAGTTTCTCATGTTGAGTTGCACATCGTGCTGTTTTATATGTATCCCATCATTACAAATGTGTAGTACATGTAACTATAGTCAAAAGTTTAACGGTACAAAGAAATCCTTGGTTTAAGTTATTCTCCAGTCACATATTAATGTTTTTACTTTAATCATGTTTTATGGAAGTATATGTTTTTAAAATCTAGTATCTTTAGATGTTAGGTTTATTAGATTTATTATCTAAAATTTGATATTTAAAGTTGTTTGGTTGTAACAACATTAATATTGCCAATATTACACTGATATTGGTCGTTCGTCAGTGTAAGAAAAGCGAGGGACTAAATACGTGAATTGTGTCTTTGTTAACATATTAAACCTAAAACCATCGACACATTCTCAAACTAGACTATCTTCCTTAACTTCGAGCCAAATTATTATCCACAACGTGACTTATAAGTAGATGTAAATCGGGAAATAAAAAAATCTTACCGAAACCTAGTCCCGGAGGAAGTTCCGCCATGATACACCGACGATACGTCTGTGTAATTAGGTGGGTAGCAGTGATAATGTTACGACCAAACAAGTTTTTCTTTGTGTATAACGCTTTATTTTCCACTAATGATTGCATTTTTAGAGAATCCAACTTCGATTGTCAACCACTGCATTCAAATTGAAGGCTATCTAAAAAGGAATATGCAGTCAACCATTCTATCGCTGATGATAGTAACTGCATTTGCTGCATATGGTAAAACAGCTTTTTATCGCTCTAGACTGAAACTACAGTAACTATATCTCTAAGTATTTTATTAGCTCTTACAGCCAAGGAGACTTATTAAATGTATCTATAAAATCATACTTAAACCATTAAAAATTGGATTTTTTTTTATATTAGCCAACTCCATAAGTTAAAACCTGGTTACAAAGACATCAAGTCTTTTTAACAAAATGAATGAGATTCCGTTAGAGAAAATGTGTAAGATTTTTTTTTCATCATTTTCATGAAAAGTTGCTGATATGTGTCAAGCTATTTTACCCGTATGCTGATACCAACATTCCGCTCCTGAAAAAAACTAGTCAGTCACAATCAAATATATCAAGAAGCTCCAGGACATCTAGTAATTTTCATTAATGCGTTGTCTTAACGTCCAGGTTGCTAATTCGATGGGTTTCTCACTCGATTATTCGAGATCTTGGATATATCGGGTGTTCCAAAAAAATTTCTGGGACACCCGATATATATCCGTGGCTGATTAGCTTTTCAAAGGCCAGATGTTACTATAAACATATGGGTAAAACATTTGGATACAAATCGATCTTCTTCTCAGTAAAAATGATGAAATAAAACTTTCAACCGACGGCGGTTCATTCATTTTGTATGTGCAAAGACGTAACGTCCTATTCGCGTTGTTCAGTAAAGGAAGTCGAGATAAGCTAACAAACATATAACACAGTGTTATCGATTTTAGTATGACACATTTTGTAGGGCACTGTTTAAAGTGTTACAACTGTAACAGCCTAACGGATGCAAATTGTGCTGATGATAACTTTGGCTTGCGCCCGAAGTCAGGAACATGCCGAGGGAGAATACTGGACCCAGCAACTATGAATACCCCTGCTGTTCAAGCTCAAATGCTTTCAAAATCATTGGATACATGTTGCGAGGGCGACGATGTAGTATGCCTGAAGACACAGTTGACAAGTAAGACGTGCATTCGTGTTTAATCAATGTATTGTATATATCACATCGCTGAAAGTATTACTTTACCCGAAAGAACACCATGTAACAATATGGGTGGTAGCTCAATTTGTTTGTATTTACTGTATGGCACATGAGAATAATCCAATGTGTGTTCAGCTTTAAGAAATGGTGACTTAGTGATACATTATTACATTACTTGTGTGAAAATACGTGTTTAGTTAACACAATGCATACTTTTGCTGGTTTTAATTATATTTTAAAATGAAGGTACTTCTTTTTCAATATTTTCCATTCATTCAGAATTTGTCAAGGCATGGTTGTTATCGTAAGGAGCTTTGATATAAGAAGGACTTGGAAATATTGCCTGCTATTCTTTGAGGACATAAAATCGTGTACTGCAACTACTCGGCAAGTATTTTTCTCGTGTATTTTCAGTTGCTGGCCTAACACAATTCAAACGAACGTGCTATAGGGTCAATATTGACACATCATGTAATAATCTGACAGTAGGTAGCATGAAGGTCAGGACATGCTTTTGTAATACAGATTATTGCAACGCCAGGGATACTGTGCAACCACAAGTGACAACAGGAAAAGTGACAACTGGTAAAACAGTTACAATCATACCAATGTCATCATAAATATTGTAACTGCATTATTTCCAGTGTTGTTCAAATATAATGAGAACGATTATAAAATATATGAATTACATGTTATCCAGATGTTGAAGCTAAAAATGCGATAATTTTATAAGGTTCGCTTTTTCGGGATGACATTGCTAGATTGCAGAGTGTCATCATATGTAACTAATATGACATGAAGGCTCCAAATGTTAGATCACTTTTTGGATATTTGAGTCGGGGCATGTGGAGCCACGTCAGATTTGTGTTTTGTCACTTTCATTCTCGTGTCATCCCGCCAGTGAACCATCTGTTACTATATTACCGCAAGCATTTACATTTTGCTTATGAGTACAATAAACATCCATCTGATCCGCTTCAAGCTAAATATTAACAAGCAATACTACTAGATCATAACTAAAATATGTAACGCGTATGCCTAATGTTTTCTTCTCGACTTATTTTAAGGTATACCTGTGTATCTCATACTTAAGTGGGTTTGGGGTAGATATCACCTGGGAATATATATCATATCTGAGGAGCGGGCAGGATATATTGTATATGTCCCGCTCCAGGCCAAATGCGGGCAGATATAATATATCCATCCCGCTCCCGGGAATTTTTCAAAAGTTTAAAAAAGTTTAAAAATCAAAAATTTTGAAAAGTTTTAAATTTTAAAGTTTAAGTTTTTTAAAAGTTTAAATGTTACAATTTCATCGTATTGAACAAAAAGAATATAACGAAAATGTTAAATATAAATTGTGCTTTTACTATAGGCCTATGGTAAGGGTTGGTAAGGGTTATATCTACCCTAAACCCACTCAAGTATGAGATACACCAGTTATGTACGGTCGGTTTTGGATATAGGGTATATCCCTCGGGAAATATTTATATCTCCCCTTGTTCCCTTCGGTCCCTCGGGGAGATATAAATATATCCCTCAGGATATACCCTATATCCAAAACCTCCCAGTACATAACCCTTATATATTTACAGACACCGGAAGTCGAGCTCCGATAATGTCGACAGTCTCAACAATACAGAACGAAGACGGTAAACTTGAATTTTGTGGCTCTTGTGTCTTGTGACTTTTTGTGTCTTCTTCTACATTATTGTTAATGGATTAAAGATAGAATTGTGATACTTGGGTCATTTTTTCTAAATAAACCCGTTTTAAGGAGTGCTTAAACATTACGAAAATATATAAGCGTAATAATTAGGTACACTTGTTTACACCCTGGAATAGCCCGATAACGGTAAAGTCAGATACCGTTGTCACAAATGGCGGTTATAACCGTCGCTTCAACTGTTCAATCACTTGGTTCTCATTTCATGGAATTTTATCGTCGCTAATTCTGTGCATGTATTAAGCCATGCACAGAATTAGCGACGATAAAATCCCAAGACTGTTATATAATGTATCTTTGTTTAGTTTGTTTCTTTATTGGCTTAATATCATAATAAAAACCCTGGAACATACAAAAATAAAAGAGTTACAATTCAGATCTATGACTTACAAAAAATGACAAGATCGTAATGAAATAAACATATTTACTGTATACTGTTATGAACTGATTGAGACATATTTTATATGTCTAGCTAAATCCTTGTACATATATGGACATCTGAGTAAGTCTTTAAATTGTACATATATGGCAATCTTACATTATATAGCACCAAACATGTCAAACAGATCCTAGCTTAGAAAACCTACCCAGGAACTACACTGCACTAGTATCTCCTGTAGACCATGGGGTTGATAGAACACCTATATAACATCTGGTCTTGATCAACACTAGAATGAAATGAAGGAGTTCAAAATATGTCTTACAAACACTCTTAAATCATGTAACAAATCACAAAATCAACACAAATTGAATATCTTTCCATACAGAAATTACAAAAAATATTAAATCCTAAAAAATCTCATCAATGCTAAATAACATGCAATCTAATCTGTTTTCTTCATAAAGTCAAGTTTGAAATATAATAAATCCAACCATACCTGACTTCATTAAGGGTTTTCTACCTAAACCTAGGTTTATTGATGCAAAAACGAGTGAATTTCTACAAGAAATTCAAAAATCAAATTTGGAAACATGCCTTTTATACAAGATGGCCGACCTACTCTCTTAACCAATGAGATTGCGTAAAAAGTAATTTACAGCGGGAAGTTTAAACACATAAAAGTTTCAAACTATTTAGCTTGGTTACACATATGAAATCCTATGTCGACAAATTGGGTCGTGAATCGTTACAATATAGCGTCTTCGATATCGTCAATGACAACGGAATAGAATTTTAGTAATTTAGAAAGACAACGGCATATGGTAATTGCAGTAATTAAGAAATTTAGTCTAGTTGCTCTATTAAACATACAGTTCATGAAAATCTAGTTGAAGCGACGGTTATGTCCGCCATTTGTGACAACGGTATCTGACTTTACCGTTGTCAGGCTATCCCGGGGTGGTTTTGTTACAGGAACCGAGCATCAAACTTCGAGGATATCGACGGTGCCGACAACACAGAACATAAATGGTAATTCTTGATTGTTTCTGGCTTAGTAAATTACTCTATGTCTTGCTTAACATAACAGTATAATAGTGTTAATCGACTGAAGATAAAACATGTATAGTCCATGGTATGAAATCTCTAGGACGTCTAATAAAGGAGCTGGTAGCACACTATAGCGCAGAGATATTTGACCTTACATTAACATACCTACATATGTTCCCTAATGATTTTTATTATAACCGTTCAATATACTTCCGGCTTTTAGGCTGAATTATGCCTGCCATTTACAGAGGTCAAAAAATCACCAAAAAATAAAATCCAAATTTTTCACAATTTGGAGTAAACAATGAAACAGAAAATAATACAAAATAATTTTGAATGTATGATTTAGGTTTCTAAGCTATAAGTTTGAGGTTAATTTTCTTATCAATACCCAAAAATATGTAATGAGTGTATTGACATTTTGTATCGTCTCTCAGGTATTAATAAGATAAATGCTACAAATGAATCACTTTTATATTGGAATGACAAATGCTTAGATTATGGTAGTTTTTCACAAAATGGGTCTCAATACGTTTTGAGATATGCACTTTTATTCAGCGCTGAAAATTGTCAATAAAGGAGGGCCTATTGTTCTTCCTTGACTAATTGGGACTATAAAACAACCATCAAGATTTGATCAAATTCATGAATAATTGAGAAAAATCGTTATCATTATCTTCCTAAAATTTGATTATATCCAGCGGTAAGGTCAAAGAAGAAACCTCCATCAGAAAACTTGATGGTAGCCACAAGTAACGTCGAGGAGGAATTGTAAGGCGTTCGATTGCATATGACTCTAATTGATTATTAGACATGCCCTTGGAATATATGAACATTCCAATACCTCAGTAACATTTAATTAGATATAAATCTTACCTATTTGTTATTGTATTATGTTTTATAAAACATGAACAATAATATGTTGTTAGACCCGTTGCGATTATATGGAAAAATTCTGGTAATAAAATGTTCTAAATAGTAAGAAAACTAATATGTTTCCAATCATAAATTACCTAAATATTCCACATAATTTTGTTGAATCGGCTTGGCTCATATTTGAAAAATCAAACAAAATCTGAAAAACACACTTGCACAATTACACTAATTAAACACCGACATCTACAATAAAATTAAATAGTATATTTTTAAATTATGATAATCTATTTTTGTTCGTATGCTTAGAATAACGGTCTGTGTCTTATAAAATGTTTTAAAGTTCGAATCAAAATATTTACGTTTTTTTGACCCCCTGTGATGAAAGACATTTTTCGACCCGAAAGCCGGAAGTTTTTTCATCAAATGGGTTTTTAAAAGAATCAAGACATGTACATCTTCATAAATATTGCTTCAAATGTTGCTGCGCTATACTGTGCTACGGATCATTCATATTCGGAAGTCATACCATGGACTAGTACATGTATGGATATTTTGGGATATTTTGTAGCTATTTCTGACCGAATATAATTGATAGTTTTAAGGTGCTACAAGTGCAACAGCTACTGGAATGATAACTGTACTGATGATAATAATGACTTCAGCAACACAGAGACATGTGAAGGAACCGATATAATGTGTGTGAAGGAGAAAAGGACAGGTAAATTTTTATGTAACTCGATTTGTTGTAATAACAGAGTTCAATTTAAGAATTCAGATTCCTCTATTTCGTCGCCTTGAATTGGCCTAGATTTCTACCTCGACCATTAATATTCAAAATGTTGACTTCACTAGCTCTTTTTCAACCTATTTTAAAAAAATTTTGAAGGTCATTGTAGGTTAATCGAAAATCGGATCTTTCATTTTCGGTTTCAGATCCGGAATTCAGAGAAAATTTCGTGGTACTCATGTTGTTAAATATAGAGTCGTTTTTTCTTGAGATGCTTTTTGGACACAACAATAGAAATAGAACGTCTCTCTTTGTCTGTATTTTTTTCTAGTATCCATTTTCGAAGAACTCTGTCAACCTTTTCAGTTTGCATTTTGATATATTAACAGTGGTGTTGGTTGGTACAATTGAGTGTACGCCACGAGTGAGCGAAGCGAATAAGCATTTAGAGAGCCATGACATTGCATTTGAAGTGTTCTTGGGTGTTTTAAAATACGAAATTCCAACCAATATGGACTTATAAAATATAAAGAATTGTACATGAACCCATTTTTTAAAAATCAACTTTTCTCTAAATTTTTAGACTACGCCGTGGCGTTTTATGCGTATTATGACGCTATGCCAGTGATTAAGTTCTAGAAAAATCCCAATGCAATGTTTTGATATTAAGAAATATGTGTTAGAATGTGACAATCAAAAGCAATGTTCAAATAGTATTTTTAGGCATACATCGAAAAATCTAGTCCTAATAAAATATTTTATGTTACTTCGCTATACCTGCCAGTTGCATAAATAATTTACAAAAGACAATAGATTTATGTTGGCAAGAATAATATTATATGGCCATTTATTTCATTATAAAATATTACATAGCATGATTTACCATCTAGAACAGGATCTTAAGAGGTTCTGGACAAATCATTTGATTCTGGACTTGACATATTTTTTTTCCAACGAAATCCCATCCAAGGGTTGAATTTTTATTGGATATTTAGAGAGCGAGTCCTGTATTGATTTCAATAAAAAGGTTAAAATAGAACGCTATTTGAGAGTTAATCTTATACTTTCATTACATTGATAAATTAAGGCAAATTCTGAAAAATTTTAAAGTGCATTTTTTATGAAATATTATCCAAGTATTTAGATGAAACGGTCTTATTTAAATACAAATCATAACCATCCTCCTAAGCAGGTGTCCAGAATCCGTACCTCCTTCTTCCCCCAAAAAGAGGGAAGATATTCTGGATTTTGAAGCCCTGTGATCGGAGGATGATCATAACATGATGATATTTTTTCATAAAATATTTCTTCAAGAAATTCAATTGAAGGCTCAAGATAAAACGAGCTAATTTAGGTGAAAACCCTTACATGATGATGTGTTTTCATGACTTCTTTCATAAAATTCCATCAAGGGGTGAAAATAAAATGATCGAATTTAAGTGATTTAAGGATCACGAGGATAGGTTTTCTTGGATATTTTCTATGAAATCCCATCCAGTGGTCAAGGTAAAATTTTTATTTGGTATATTTGGTCACGTGTTCGAACCCATAGAACCATATAGGAACGTCATTTTGAATGTTACGTGATAAATCCATATAAGGCTTTTAGAACAATGTGGGGAAAGATGAGGGGAAACCCCTGACACCTGTTCACGATTTTATCCGAACGTTCATCGGATCATTTCGGTTTTTATGCACTTCATTATTTTACCGAAGTTTGCCGATTCGATTCGTCGTATTTCGGAATATTGGGGACAATTTTATACTCCATTGGGAGTATTTTTAATCTACTTCTTATTACGAAGATTCCCGAACCTTGTTCGGATTAATCCGGATTTTCTGACCTACTTCATCTACCGAGATTTAACGAGTTTACATTCGGCTCATTTCGGAATCCTGGTGACAATTTTATACTCCATTGGAGTATTTTTGATCTACTTCTCTGGATTTTTGATCTACTTCTTATGACGAAGATTCCCGAATCAGTTCGGATTAATCCGGATTTTCTGACCTACTTTATCTACCGAGATTTAACGAGTTAACATTCGTCTCATTTCGGAATCCTGGTGACAATTTTATACTCCATTGGAGTATTTTTGATCTACTTTTTCTGGATTTTGCCCTACTTATTATAAGTTGACAGCAAGCAAATCAAAAAGTTCGCCATGAACGGGTTTCGATCGACTAACCTAGAGAGTGGAAGCTAAACACGCTAACCATGAGGCTAACGTTTACCTGTGTGAGATGATAAAAGTATCATATATTTATACCGAGCGTCAATTTAGAATGATCTTCGCTTTTGACTCCACTTAGATACAACTCGTCAGTTGTATCCAGAATAGGTGAACGCCTATGGTGTTAGTGAATAACCAAATCCCAGGCGAGTGGTTCGTATCCCACCGTGATATGTTATTTTTGCTTTATTAATACGACAGAAAGGAGCAAGGTGTAGGTTTGAAAACAAGACGTACGTTTATTTCAATACAGTTTTAGAAACATTAACCTCTGATAATTGAAGGATTTCCACTTCTGAAGCGCGACTAGATCTAAGAAGTTCATTAATCAAGACAGTGTAAACCTTTTAGATATATGTTAGACAATGTACACGCCCCGTGTGGAATCAACTAAATGTTACATTTTGGATTTCATTGAGATCCTGTCATAGTCCTAAAATTTATTTTTCTGGAACATCATTTTTTCAACACTGATACAAATTTCCCTGACATTTCCATGACATGTCTACAGTTTCAAAATTCCCGGACTCTTTGGCCCTTTTTGACCTTATTTTAAAATTCTCTGACATTTCAGGCACTTGGAAAATTAAATCAAAACCCTGACATTTCCAGGTGTGTACGAACGCTTAGCCTTGCCCAAGTCGGTCTCTTTTACTATCTTGATTTCTATTATGACCGCCTTGTACCAAAGAGAAAGCCACGTGCTTTACCGACTCAATGTTTATGTCGGTAAAATTTGACCAATCAACGACGGCCCTACAGCGTTAGCTCATTATTATGCACGGTCAAAAACAAGTACACTTTTTACTTTTCGCCGGGACTTTTCACGAACAAACTTGCATGAATTCATCATGAAAATACAAATATTTTATCAGATAAATATCAATCAGAGTTTAGTGGATGCCGGAGCATCGATCGGTAACCGGAGGTGAGAAGATTTCAACAATAAACGTTGAAACGATCGCTGAATTCAAATGAACATGTAGGCTGAGACCCCGGCTGAGATTCAATCACTGACTACATGACCAGCTACATTGGACTCGGTCTTGCATTTATATCGCGAAATCAGTTTTAAATCTATTGCATGATTTAATTTATATTAATGACTCTTACATTCCCTATGTACATTTAATTACATAATATATTGTAACTCTAAAGAAACAATCCATCAGATCATCGGCATTGAATTTCAAATCGGGAAGATTGCTTTGCTTATGCAGGTCAACCTGATAACGTTTTTGATTGGTCAATCAGCCTGAAGTCACACGTCGTGTCCAGACTGTCCACGCGTATTATTGTTAATCAATAAGGTTTCGCGATACCCCTGATAGCGTAGGTATTATGGAAATCTCGAAACCGTTGAATAACTCTGCATAATATCAGCGTAGGTGTATTGGATTGTACAAGGCGGTAATAATTCAAGATCAGATAAGTAAAAAAATACCGACTTGGGCAAGGCTAACGAACGCTGGAATTATTCTTAAAATATCCTTCAAACAAAAGGGGAAAATGCTATGCACAAATACTCTAATTTAGTTTGTATTGTAATGCGTTGTATTACATTGCATTGCATTGTATTGTGTATTTATTTGAGTGTCCGTTGACGGTAAAGAAGGCATTTAAAAGTTATTTGTGAAACTTAATAAACTTAATAAACAATACTTTAACAGTATTCTGTTATGGCAAAGTATATTTCATTTTTTCTCTTGTTCTCTACAATCTGCGTTGAGGACACTGAAGCATATGTCTGTATTTTGTTGGTGGGGAACAGCGTATCCTATCGTTCACGGAGCAAATTCAACTCTCGTTCACGAGTACCTTGTTTTTGGGCTCTTGTCCCAAAGATAACGATTGTATAAGGTTGCATAATCAGGATTATGAGCTTTCATGTTCTCATAGTTACATCTGTTGTAAAACGAATCTTGTCGCAACCTCTGCGAATCACGACAGCATAACATTTGAATCACGTTGACATCATTGCAAAATTAGGCTAAATATGCTAAGTCAAGACGTTAATTAGCCCACGAAAGTTCATGGGTAACTTGAGAACTACAAAATACAACCAAATACTTTTCGAACGTACAATAGCAATGACGTGTCGCAAAAAGGTGGCGCATTTGTTTTTAAGGGTATCGCGTGAATGTAACTTTGATTCCCCGAATTATAAGATAATATTCTAATTAAAGTTATATATCATTTTAAAGCTGTTTCGATGAAGATTTTAGATCAACTACACTCCGTTCACGATTCTTGCGCGTTCGTTTTTAAAAAAGAGTTTTTTACCAAAACATCTGGCAAATATCCCATGTTGACACGTTACATTTTGAATTATTTTTCGTCTTTAAACGCTCATAACTCAAACAATATATGACTATTATACTTATTTTTCGTCTTGATAAAGGTAGATAGAAGTTTTATTTCAAAGGATGAATTTTAGTAAGCGTCCCATATTGTGACGTCATAGAGTCTGAAAAATAGAATCTGTTGACAGCGACCTTTTTGCTCATTTTTTGCTACCTTCAACTTTTCAGGTGTACATTAAACAAAAAATACGAGATCAATTTTTAATAAATCATACATGATTATTTTGCTCCTAAACTCTAGTTTATTAATAAATAGTTGATTATGTTCACAAAAGTATGTGTTTTCTGTTGTATGTGGAAAAGTGGAGGACGAAAGGTTTTCAAAATTCATTAAAATATGGCTAATTTACGCCATTCGCCTATTTTCAAGCACAGCAACACGTATATTTATTTC